CGGGCTTATCCCTACACACTGCCAGCTCAGCACTGTCAGTACCAGTCCTTTGTATGAAGAACGGAAAGACATCAAGATGACAGCGGGCCACAGCTGGAAGGGACATATTCCCTAGAAACTATATTCATTCTCATAAGAAAACATAGCATATATAGCTTGAGGACCTTTCCAGGTGGTTTACACATTGTGACTGGATTTCCACACTGGTCCTCAGGTGGTGCTAAGGTGCAAGGTAGGTGTTTGCCACGTGGGCATCTGGAGCATTAGCGCAGTTATATTCTAGCTGGATCTTTTCAATCAACTGGTTATGTAGTGCTAGAATCTTCACTGGTTAGTTTTATGACGTTAAGGAATATTGACAAAGAGATTGATTGATTACTTAAGTTTCTTTTGAGATAGGACCATATAAACTCTGCCAAGTAGATGATGAAAAAAATCCTTTTAATTTTTCCTAAGTCCAATTCCTGACTAAAAGGACTTGAAAGAGAACTGTAGTGAATGTTAATACACCGCTGGTATAAAATTTAAAAAGTTGGTTTTCCTCTATGCAATAATGGATAAAATTATACCATAATTAAATTATGGGATGTTACATCTTCCACTGTTGAAGAGAGTACTAACTGTGAAGAGGTGGGCTCCAAAAACAATAGTTAGGACCTCTGTGACTCACAGTTCATAATGGTCCCAGTCTATTCTCGTTGCTTCTTTGATTTTTTTTATTGACTTTTGCATTTCTCTACGCCACCACTCATGTTTATGCCCAAGAAATAGAAGTTTGAAAAAAGTTTCCTTTTTGACCTTGCTTCTTGTTTACTCTTTAGTTAGCACTTTAATCAGCTGGTGTTACCTGTGAGTGATGGTCATCAGTTGTACTCTTCAGAATTAGGACTGATAGGCTAGAGAAGAGGGTTCAGTGATTTTTCTGCTCTCCCAGAAAACCCAGTTTGATTCCCATGTTGATGTATAACCATCTTGTAACTCTTGTTTCCCAGGATCCATTGCCATCTGGTGGCCTCTGCATGCACTGCAAGTACATGGGGCACAGACATACGTGCAAATCCCTCAGACTTGTTAAAAAAAAATACATCTTTTTAAGCAGTTTTTAAAAATACAACTGAAGTTGCCTGGCGGTGGCACACGCCTTTAGTCCCAGCTCTCAGGAGGCAAAAGCAGGCGAATCTTTGTGAGTTCAAGGCCAGCCTGGTCTACAAGAGCTAGTTCCCAGACAGGCTCCAAAAGCTACAGAGAAACCCTGTATTGAAAAAACAAAAAATAAATACAACTGAAGTCAAAGCACTTTTTAATTTTTTAGATTGATCTTCAGATTATAAATAACTATGATAAACTTGGGTATCTTGAGTTTGTATTTCAAACAATAATCTTAACTGTAAAATGAAGTCATGGTTTTTCCCCCTGACATTCTCATTATTTAGCTTGCAGTCCACTTTTCCTCTTCCTCCTGCCCTCTTGTTCTCTTTCCCATTTGCTCTCTCCTCCATGGCTTTCTGTTCCAGTCCAAGTACTGGAACAGCACTAGGTAGGCTTTCCATTTCTGCATTCAGCGGACTGCAAGTTCCCTAAGAGCAGGATGCAAGTCCTCAGTGTTGGTGAAATATGGGAAATAGTGAGGACAAGAAAATGCTTTCAAGTTTGTACAATATTTTCCTTAACTTTATTTTAAAATTTTAGTCTACCCGAAGCAAACATTGATTAATTCCCATTCAGAAGAATACTCTTAATATTTTTGTCGTTAGACCATTGCTCTGACGTGGTCTCATCCTTAAATAAGGAAAGCGTTCACCACAAGGGGCTAAGGTTGACCTGTAAGTTGCATTCTAACACAGTAATTTTGCTTCAGACATGTAATCTAGAAACAGCCTAATACTAATTTATCCGAGTTTGCAGAATGAGCAATATGTACCAGATATCTAATAAAAGCCAAAGTCCTCTTCATAGCAGCTGTTTTTAGGTTATCTCCCATGACTTTGCTTTCTCAGGGTTTCACGAATATGCAGCATTACATCATAGACTTTCTCTTTCCCAGGTACCTGTCCTCGGTGCCAGATACACTCATTAGTCATACAAATCTGGGTTATGTTTTCCTAGGAAAATTAATTACTTTCTGTTGGCTACATATGGTTAGCTTGTCAGAAGGGAAACTTTAGCATATTTTGGGGTGATATAATCTAGGCATTTAAACAGCCATTTTTTCTCTTCCTCTTTATGCATAAAATAGTACATTAATATCTGCTAGAATTAACATTTTGCAATAATATCTCAGCATTACTTGGGATACTAGAGAATTATTTCTAATGTTACCTGCAAAGTGCCTGGACCTGATTTCCTAATTGCAAATGAGGACCAAGGAAAACTAGAGATGTCATGGGTCATCATTCACCTTTTGAGTGGCCGTGATTATATGTCCTTCATTTTAGTGCTCTTGTGTTCCTTATTATTCTAAAGGTATTAAATTTAATACAGTAGCATCTGCACAACCAAGGTATGTGGCTGTTGGTCATCACAGTGTTTAAGGATTAATAAATAATTTAGGGAAGTTTATCTGTTTGAGGTCATGAGATGTATTTTAAATATAATAATGTTATGAGAGGTAATCACCATTTATCCTTACTTTTTGTATTACAGATATCAGTGTAATGTAGGACTTAATTTTCTAATAGAGTGACCTTTTCTCTTTCTATAAGTTTATATTGCTCAAGCTACAAAACACATTAAAATGCCTTTGTTGAGCCTATTGTCTTTTTACTTTATTGTAAGGGAAAATGGTATTTCTTCTTTTTTTTTTCATTTTCCCTAGACAGAAATTGCAGCATTCATAGTGCCTCTAGAGTGAAATTTTCACTAGTTATTCTAGTTTGGTTCTTAGAAGCTTGCTTCTTGCATTGCACACTGCTGTGGGATAGAATAATCTTTCTGTACACTATGAATATGCATTACTCACACTAGGTATTAAAGAAGCTGATTGGCCTATAGCAAGACATGATAAAGTTAGGTAGGACAATCAAACTGGGATGCTGGGATGAAGAGGGGCCAAGTCAGGTAGATACAACCCAGCCACCAAGTAAGCAGGATATGTAGAAAATGATGTAAAAAGCCATGAGCCACATGGCAAAGCATAAATAGAAATATTGGTTAATTGAAATGTAAGACTTAGTAATAAACCTGAGCTATCGACTGAGCATTTATAATTAGTATAATACTCTGTGGTAGTTTGGGAAGCAACTGCAGTCCGTACCATCTTTTTAAATCAGAGTCTAATCCAGGACCTCATTATTCTATGCAAGTCCTCTCCAGTCACATTTTCTTTAAAAAACCATTTAATTTAAATGACATGTATATGAGCATGTTACGTTTTTCTAAATAATCCTGTAATCCTGATTTTCTTTTTTTAGTAATAAACTGATTGGCCCAGTATCTCAAGCTTCTTATTAACTCTTACAACTTATATTAGCCCATTATTCTTATCTGTGTTAGCCACGTGGCTCGGTACCTTATTCAGCAGGGCCGTCACATCTTGCTTCTTCTCTGGCTGGGATAGGACTGCAGACTAGGACTTCCTTCTTCCCAGAATTTTCCTGTTCTCATTGACCCACCTCTACTTCCTGTCTGGTTGTCTGCCTATACTTTCTTCCTGGCAATTCAGCGTTTATTTAAAATATAATTGACAGAGTACAGACCATTGTCCCACACCACTTCCCCCTCTTTAAAAAAAAAACAAGCATAAAACAAGAACTCTAAATCAAATATCCTTTGTTTAGCTTGTCTCCTGACCATTAGCCATAATAACTTGTAACCAATATTCTAAACAAAGGAAAATATCCATAGTCCATTTTTTTGGGAACATGGATGTAGTTTTCCAGACTACTTCCTGCTGGTTGGGGGTGTTGATAATCTTATGGGGACCTAAAGAAAATTTAGAATTATGGAATAATCCTGTTTTTATTATATCTTGTGTTCCATACAAGTTTTATTTAACATCTCATCTTACTCTTTGCGTATCTTGAACAAGAAACTTCATCTCTTTTAGTCCTGTTGTGTTGTCTCATTGTTATCTGTCTTTTCCTCAAACATCTTTTGATCTTTGCTTAAACAGCTTTAACAGTTTTATTATTCCTGCCCCATCTGTGTTACCAAGACCTCATATTGATAATGTATTTTATGAAGGAATTCATTGTAACCGAGGGGCAATTTCTTTGGCCACCTATGTGGATTTTCGCCTTGTGTGTAGCTAGAACAGAGGGTGTTAACTTAAGGGGAAGAATGGGCCCCTTGGTTCTTGCTTACAAGTGTCGCCTTCTGTATTCCTCGGCAGCAAAACTGAGTCCCTCTCCAAGGTTACCTTGGCATGTGACAGCCCCGTGGCTTTGTGCCACTCCGTCTCCTGCTACGCCCATGTTTCCTAACTTTGATTCTGCTAATTTAGTATGTGTCAGGAGCCATTCTACTTTCTGTGTTTCTGAAGAAAGTCAATTTAGTACAAATTGGGACCTATTTACTCTCCCTCTATCTAACACATACTGTTAGTCAGCAGGGCTTCTGAGGACGGCAGTTGCTATTTGAGGCAAACAAACCCTTTTTAGACCTTTCTGAATATGTTTTAAACATGACCCAATGTATTTCAGTATTGAACAAAGATTATTTCATGTCGATGTGATTGCTTTGTAGTCTGTTTCCTGTGTATCCTGTTACATTTCTTAAAACTTGGGGGTTTTTAATGTTTATTTGATTGCTTAATTAAATTTCACTGTTTCATTAAAGCTTTCATTTCTTTGCATATCTGAATTGTTAATTTTGTTTTTGAAGGATGTCTGGATTCCTTACAGAAACAAGCAGAGCTCTCCTCTTCCTGCCATCAGTTTCAGGGGACATATTGCTTCTTCCGTACTGTCATACCAATAAATCATCCCAGATTACTTGCCGAGGTACAGTACTGAAGTATACCATGCATTTTAAAGGAAATCTGCTATTTTCTTTTCAATCAGATGAGCAATGTGAAGAGACTCCGGCCACGGCTCAGTGCTATTCTCTTTAAGCTTCAATTTGAAGAGCAGGTGAACAACATCAAACCTGACATCATGGCTGTCAGTACTGCCTGCGAAGAGATCAAGAAGAGCAACAGCTTTAGCAAGTTGCTGGAACTTGTGTTGCTAATGGGAAACTACATGAATGCTGGCTCCCGGAATGCTCAAACCTTCGGATTTGACCTTAGCTCTCTCTGTAAAGTGAGTTTGTTTTTTTTTAAAACACATATTTGCCTGAACACTTACTCTTAAATGTCAGCCCTGATTACATTATTTAAATATTTTTATTTTGATGGGCTCATTATCAAGAACTTGAACTGAACCATGAACTCAAACCTAGAGTGAACTGAGCTAATTTACTCAACCTCTGAACTAAATCCAAATATTAATTTTCTCTGATCTGCAAATCCAACTGAAGGATTTTGTTTAATAACTAAATTATTTCCTAAACCTATGCTTTCTCAAACCAGTGAAATAGAACGTCAAAATATCATTTAGGCTTTATATTTATTTAGTTCAGGTACTGTCATTTAGTGATGTATATTAACTGTTGCTTAGGACTGCTGAGTTTTTTTTGCCTTTAACTGTTTAAACATTTCTCTACATTATTTTGCATGTGCAGACTAAAAGAGAAGTAAGATTTATATATATGAAGAGAAAATATTTTTATGAATACATGCATTTCAGACCTCATTGATGAATTAAAAATATTTCTATCCAACCGTAGTTTTAGAGGTTATGAAAACTCAGTGAGTTTATTTAATGCCTTATTGTTTTCTTCTGGTTCCTTCCAACTTGAATTTATCTGTAACTAACATATTCAGTGTTTTGTATAACAGACGTCTTTCCTGGGGTATGTGTCATGGTAATAGTACTTTAGTGATCTGTTTGCCATAAATTCTTATCAGTTAACCTTGTGACATCCACACTCTCTGATTAAGGAATTTGGCTTTTATTATTCCTAGCTTGGTAGAGACTGTGAGGATCTGGTTCAGCTTTGGCTGTTGGCTGGTGAATGGCCATCCCCATGGTAACTTTACAGTCACCTTTTCCCACAGCTGTCCTGAGCCCAGGCCTCCACAGGCATCAAGGTTTCATGAACTTCTCTCTTCCTCTTTTATTTTTCTGCCTTTATACCTACAACTTTCTGTATTTGCTTAAATTTCCTGCTGCAGGAGACATATCCTGCAACACCCACCATAGGCTTTGTGCATCAGTGTTTACTTGGGGTAAACCCTGTGATGGGTGGTTTACCCATAGCCCATCACTGAGGTAGGTGATAAATATTTTACCTGGCATATGTGGAATTCCCATTTCCTAGAGGTAAACCACAGGTGTATTTGTTTGCTTATTTATATTTACTTATTCATATTACGATGATTCAGTGCTTTAATGGAGCTGTTTACAAAACTGTATGACAGTCAAGTTAGGCCAGAGAGGCCAGCTTAGCTGGAAGAGGGTAGTGGCTAAGTATCCAGAGGAAAAAGAGAAAAATAAACTGATTCTTGACTTATGTATGTATTTTCTGGAAAAAAAATTATAAGCAAAAGAAAACAGTTGGCATAAAGCTTATTGCATTGCACATGTGTGTATATAATGGCCTTTGCATTCTTCATAGGACATTCTTTGCATTCTTCATGGGACAGGAATTAGGGAAAAGAGAAGTGAAATAGGAAGCGAGTAAATATTCCTAAATGTCATGCCTCACAGTGGTGGTTTTCTAGCCATACATTAGTTCTGTAAGCCAGGTAGTGTGATCAGATACATTCAGGAACGTAATTCTATTAGCAGGAAAAAGAAGGTGAAGGCCTATTGGCCTAGTACTGTTGTCATCGAGGATATATTGCTACTTAAATTTGATAATTCAGATTTAATCTAAGCTACACAGTTATTTTTTTCCTGAGTCATATTTACTGTATTTGCATTGCAAATAAATGTATTTTCTTTTAAATATTCAGCCCATTCCTACCACTGCAGGAGTTCTATTGGGAAGAACTGGGTGACATAGCTATAGTGCCAGAAAGTTGGTAAGTGGCTGAGATACAATACCTGACCTATGACAGTGACAGAGACATCAAAGTCAAAAGAAAGATAGGGAAGATGTGGTAGTAGATGAGGAAGAGGGAAAGATAATCTATTTGTGCTTAGCGATCTAAGGTGCATGGTGTTTCTACTGGCACACTCGCAGTGTTTGCTCAAAAAGGAACTATTATTTTATTATTTTCCTTTTTTTTTTTTTTTTTTTTTGCTTACCTCTCAATCTTAAAGGACAAAGCTTTTAAGTTGCCTTATCAGAACACTTTACAAAAGTCTGGATGTCTGCCACACATTTGTCACGAACAGTTGGGATTATAGAGCTCTAAGCTAAAATAGTGAGTGGCCTTGGAGCTTAAAATAGAGAAGTAGAGTTGATCAGGGAAGTAAACAAATTTCACAGCCTGAGAAGCATTGACAGGGTTTTGTGAGTTTGTGAAGCTGAAGGAGAAGGAGAAAAGCAAGACTACCAACTTAAGGAAGCTGAGGATGAGAAGGAAGACAATGGAGAACTCAGTCCTGCACCCGAAAAACTACTGGGGTTTATTGATTAGCACACAGTATGTTAGTTCTACTGTATGATTTGCATCTCAGTATAGTTAATGTACCCAAAGTTGGCTACCTGTTCTCCTTCATCCCTTCTTCTTAAAGAGATGTTGACAGGAGATGAGATCTGATTAATGAAGTAGAAGAGGATAATGCAGGGTCTGGCACATAGTAAATAGCTAAAGAATGAAGGGAAATTGTTTTATTACAATAGTGTAGGTGTTATATTTATTTTGAAATGGAAAACAGACATTCTCTCCTTGAGATATAGTCATAGATGCATAGTAATTTAAAAATTTTATACAAATACAATTCAAGCAGTTATTGTTTTACTTCAGTTAGTGTGTAGACCAGTTAATCTGTCTTCAGATAAAAAGTTGTCTGTGTTCATGCATTGCTAGTGGGCATTTCTGATCATCACTCTTTAGAGACTTCTGTTGTACAAGAAACAAAATAAATACTACAACTTCCTTTTTATTAGCTCGCATGTCAAGTTGAAAGCGTATATTGAACTAGATGCTATCTCATCACGTTTGTTATCAGAAGTAGCAGCCTGATCTTTGACAGTTGTGATTCAATTTTTCACTCTAAATATAAAGCATTTGGTTTTTTGATAATCCCCCATATATGCAGCTCTTTATTTATTTGACAGTATAAAGACAAGAAATGTTTTAATCTGTTCAAACATGCTGAGTAATTATATGGCATTTAGCATTCTGTATGTGAAATTCTTATTTTAACTTTCCTTTTAGATAAAGGCTTATGTATGAAAAATGCATGATTTTTAAAGAACTGGTTTTGCTACCTTAGAGTCGGTACACAGATTCTGAATTCCTTACCCATTATATTTCAGACTTATACTTTTGTATGCATTCGTATTTCAGAGTTCTAACTATGGTTATCTCTGATTTGAAACATGCTATATGACAATTGTCAAATAAATACAGAAGTAAACTTGAGTTATAATGTGAACATCAACTTGAAATTTTTTGTAATATATATACAAAAATTAAAGTTGATGTATAAGCATGGACTTCTCTGATAGTCAAAGTACAGAAATATTTTAGTCCCCCCTTATTAACTAAAGGAAAGCTATAGGAGGGTTTATGATAGGAGGATGTGTTGTGTGCTCTTAGCAGCCAAGGCTGAACCAGCTTCCTGTGCATTTTTCCTCTAGGACCTATCTCTTTCCTTCCCTCGTCACTGCCACATACATATTCTGGGTCTCCTAAGTGGATGGATGCTCCAGAAGAAAGCCTTTCATGTGTATTCTTCAGTGATAGCAATGTTATTCGTAGCTTAGGTAGCATTATGTACCTTGCCTTGACTTTTCCATAGGATAAACTGTAGAATGTAAGTGAAATGTTTGCCATTCATGCAATTCTCTAAAAATAGTAATACTTCACACTTTAATTAAAAGCTGGCAGTAGGCATTTTGTATACTCACATACATGGTACCCACACACACACACACAAAACTAATGTTAAAATGTAAATCCATTTCCTCAGAAACCCATCACATAGGTGGTAGATGCTTCTGTTTCCAAAATGCTTATCTGTAAAACTTTAATTTATTTACTGATATGACTGTTTCTTTAAGAGAACTCACTAGCGTGGCAAATATGTTTTATTTCCAATTAAAATTAGCATCCAGCTAATTAATGGATTGACCTGATTATCAAAGTTTAACATTACATTAAAATATATGAGGTAATTTTGACTTGTAAATTTAAGGAACAGATGGTTCAAATCTGCACACAATGGTGCTGACATGTGTTTAATAATGTTTACTGATACCTAATGAGATGTGTGATTTCTGAATAACAAATCCTAATCAATATATTGGATTTGTAGCTTTTTGTTCTGCATTAAGTAACTTCCTATAATTGAGGTAACAGAAGAGCTTTTTTGTTGTTGTTTTCTTACAAAAGTTATATCTATTGATTCCTCTTCAAATTATCCACTTTATCTCTTGTAGCAAATTTTCTATTGTCTATGTCAGAGCATTAGAAAGTTAGTTTCTGTGTTAAAATTACAAAACCATGCATAATACCATGAGAAGGAGGTAAGAAGAAAGTGGTTGAAGGGCAACTGAAGCAGATTGATGTCCAAGTTCCTTTTCTCTAGTGCAGAATTTTCTGTGTGACCTTCTGGATCGTTCTTTTTCTAGCGCAAGCTTTCCTAAAGTAAAGTAACTTCACCAAATCTGTGATGGGAAAGATTTAAAATGGAAACTTTAATTTCCGTTTCCTTTAATGTCTATACTGACTGTCGTAAGTTGCCTTTTGAACCTCTGAACATCTTCTACTTTAATCATATTTATTGATTTGCAGCATGGAGTAGCCTTTAAAAATCACTAATGCCCGGTCCTCTTCATCAGTTCCCTTAATTCAAAAGGCTTTTGCATGGCACTTTAAAATGGGTTCCAGGTGACCATAACACTTAACCCACACTGGCAATCATTCTGCCTCTCCTACAATGCTTGTGTAATGCAGAATGGAAAATTCCTGACTGGTTTTCTGGAAGTAAATAAGCAACAAACAAACATGAGGAAATGAAAACGAACCGACAACAAAACAAAAACAAAATGAAAGAACTTAAGCAAAGTGGTGGAAATATTC